AGCAGCGTGGTTCCGTTAGCAGCGTGGTCCTGTTAGCAGCGTGGTTCCGTTAGCAGCGTGGTCCTGTTAGCAGCGTGGTCCTGTTGGCAGAGTGGTTCCGTTAGCAGCGTGGTCCTGTTAGCAGCATGACACTGTTGGCAGAGTGGTTCCGTTAGCAGCGTGGTTTGGTTAGCAGCATGACACTGTTAGCAGCGTGACACTGTTAGCAGCGTGACACTGTTAGCAGCGTGACACTGTTAGCAGCGTGACACTGTTAGCAGCGTGGTCCTGTTAGCAGCATGACACTGTTAGCAGCGTGGTCCTGTTAGCAGCATGGCACTGTTAGCAGCGTGGTTCCGTTAGCAGCGTGGTTCTGTTAGCAGCGTGGTCCTGTTAGCAGCGTGGTCCTGTTGGCAGAGTGGTTCCGTTAGCAGAGTGGTCCTGTTAGCAGCGTGGTCCTGTTGGCAGCATGACACTGTTAGCAGTGTGGTTCTGTTAGCAGCATGGTCCTGTTAGCAGCGTGGTCCTGTTAGCAGTGTGGTCCTGTTAGCAGTGTGGTCCTGTTAGCAGCATGACACTGTTAGCAGTGTGGTCCTGTTAGCAGCATGACACTGTTAGCAGTGTGGTTCTGTTAGCAGCATGGTCCTGTTAGCAGTGTGGTCCTGTTAGCAGTGTGGTCCTGTTAGCAGTGTGGTTCTGTTAGCAGCATGGTCCTGTTAGCAGCGTGGTCCTGTTAGCAGCGTGGTCCTGTTAGCAGCGTGGTTCTGTTAGCAGCATGGTCCTGTTAGCAGCGTGGTTCTGTTGGCAGCGTGGTCCTGTTAGCAGCATGACACTGTTAGCAGCGTGGTCCTGTTAGCAATGTGGTCCTGTTAGCAGTGTGGTTCTGTTAGCAGCGTGGTCCTGTTAGCAGCATGACACTGTTAGCAGTGTGGTCCTGTTAGCAAAGATCCTCGCATCCATTCCTTCTAGGACCAGCAGGCTTTTCATGAGTTATCAGGAGCAGACGGTTTCACTCAGGTTACCAGCTGCTTTGAACAGATCCTTGTTCCAGGATTGGAGTGTTAACGTTTCACTTGTGCTGACAGCTGCATTTCTGAAGAGATGCTGCACTGACCTTCAGAAACCGGCCCGAGGTTCTGTGAGCCGGTTCAGGTTGTCTCAGGCAGGAGAGTAGAACCTCACTGAGAGACAATCCTGTGTGGCTCCACCATGGGAGTCCCTCCTCCTCTGTGAGTAAACACTGCGATGCATGCAGCTCTGTGCGGATCACTCGGCCGAGTGTCGACGATGTAGGTCAGTGTGAGAGGCGCTCGGTTCGGTTCTGCTTGAACTGGCTTCCCTCCAGTCCCTGCTCGTAGTTCTGCTGTGACTCTGTGGGGGAGGGGAAGGCACGAGTTAGTGATTTATTATGACCCAAAGGTGAAGGCAGGGTGATGGTTAGTGCATGTGCACTATGAAAATATCTCAAGACCACTTTAATAGATTCTAATGAAACTTCAAAAGTCATCGTTTGATGGACGTCTGCAACCGGACCCCAATTGACGTCAATCTGATTCAAGATGGCCGCCACAACAAAGTAATGGTAGCAAATGCAAAAACCGTGTCACCTCTATCAACTGACATTTAATGTCTTTCTCTTGTGACTTGGCGCTATATAAATAATTTAAATGATCTCGTCTACACCCGAGTAGCTTCTCTGAAGCTGCTGTTGAGAACGATCATGGCGGCTGCTTTTACCAACTTCTTCATTCAGTCTTTATTTCTACAGGTTAGTCTCACTGAGCCTCGAGGACTCGTTTACACCAGAGACCTGGTTTAAACAAACAACACAGATGAGCTACAGACAACAACAGACAATCAGGTCCCAAAGTAAAGAAGAAATTCTACAGCAGACGTGGGCAACGCATGGCCCGAGGGCCAGAAGTGGCCCTTGGACCATCTCCATCCTACCCACAAATTCTTAAATGAGAAGAACCTTTAAAAAGAAACATTTTAGATGAAGATGGGGTAAAACTCATTTTTGTTCTAGTTGTATTTTCACAACTAAAGTCTCCAAAAAGCTAACATACTTTATATCCATTTTTCTTTTGCATGTTTAAGTTAACTAGAGGAATTGCATTTCTTGCGAAAATACAGTGTGAACGCTTTTTGCTGAAGAACTTGCTGAAAAACAGCTGAAATTAGCTAAAAACATGCTGAAATTGAGAACAAGCCTAAGTTTGCAGTAGAAAGCAGAACATATATTTGCTGAATTAGGTTGAAATGAGCAGAAATGAGTAAGAAAATGAGGAAAGTTCAAGGTTAAAGGTTCTTGTTATTCTCATCACATGTGGTACATGAGGTGGAACAACACCGTGTACTCAGGGTCCCAGTTACATCCAAAAATAGCAAAAATATCAAGTACAAAAAGAAACTGTATACAAGGGTCTAACATACGCTAAACGGTAATATAATATAAAGTATTATGTTAAACAGCAGCCTGAACATGAGTGTGTAGTGAGCAGATGGGTATAAAGACAGCAGCTTAAAGCAAAAGTAGCTATAAAAGCTGAAATGAGCAAAAAAAAAGCTAAAATTAGCTGAAAAGACAGAAAGATTAAACTACCAGAAGGAAGCGGAAGGAGATGCAATGAGCACAAAATAAATAAAATTTGGAATTAGCTGAAAAAAATAAATGTAGCACAAAAACAGCTAAAAAGTTGCTGAAATAGCAGAAAAGGCTGAAACTAGCAAAACAAGCTGAAAGGAGTACAACAAGCTTAAATTAGCTAAAAGCAGTTGATTAAGCTGAAAGTAGCAAAAATAACCATGAAAAACGAGTGTATCTGAAAACGGCTGAAATTAGCGAAAGCAGCTAAAAGCTGTCTGAAAAGGTAGAATTAGGACAAAGAAGTGGACATTATCTGAAAAAAGCCTAAATTAGCCAAAAAACAGCTGAAAAGTAGCTAAAAAGGCAGATTGAAGCTTAAATTACCAGAAGACCTGGAACTTAAAAATTTTAATTTGGCAACAAACTATTAAATCTTATTCTGTTTGTAAATATTCATAAACTGTTAGGGTTGGGGGTTTGCCCTCTCTTCCTTCCAGCTGAAGCCAGCTGATAATGACATGTGCAGATAAGTGGGTGAAATGCTACATTTTGTAACTGGCATCCATAATATTCACCCAGTTTTAAGCTGAGGAAACATTAAACTGTTTATTGATATTGGAAAAGAAAGGAATGTTTTCCTCTTATTATTATTTTCACTCTAAAAATTAATTATTATTATTAAACTGATATCCACTAAAAGTCTACAGTTTAATCTACCGTAATCTAGTTCAGTTTATTTCTAAAGCTCCAAGTCCCAACAAACATTCGTCTCAGGGCACTGAACAGAAACTGCAATAAATAAATAAATAAATGAAAAGCTGAATGCTAAATTACAATTAGCATAACAATAGTTAAATTAGCTAAATCAATGGTAAAGCTAAAAATTTGCAAAAGAGTAGCTAAAATGAGCATGATTAAAATAAGCTAAAGCTAAATTTAGCATGCCACATTATAAAACTATTACCATTACAATAGTTAAATTTAGCTAAATCAAGGGTAAAGCTAACAATCTGTAAAACAGTAGCTCAAAGTGGTTAAGCAGTTGCTAAAATGAGCAAAAACAGCTAAAATGAGCAAAAAAAAAAAATTTCATTTTTGTAAGCCATATGTTAAACGTAAATTAGGATAACAGTAGCTAAAATTAGGGAACCAGTCACATTAAAATGAGCAAAAACAGCTACAAGTAGCAAAATGCAACTTAAAGTTCAAAGGAGAAAACTGGCTAAACACTAAAAGGAGCTAAATAACAGCTCAAAGCATCACGAGGCAAAATAGAGGCAGTTTGCAGAAGCAGATTTCAAAGAGAATTTTATTTTTTCATGGAAGTGTTGAGATCTCAATGTTTCAACAGGAAGTTATATTTTAAATGGTCTAATGTATTGAACAGTATAAAAGTTATAAAATGATGAGCTTAATTACACAACAGACACAATAACAGAAAATAAATGCTCGAATATATAATTAGTGACTGGACAAATCTCAGTGTCGCATCAAAGACCAAAGGTGTCACATGGTCAACACCCGCCACAGTAAAATGAGATGGCGGTTTCTCTCCCAGCATCCTCTCTGTTTGACAATGAAATGCAACTTAATGCTGTTTTACAAAAACACTAAACCAGACTGTCACCCATACACTCACATCCATCCATCCATCCATCCATCCATCCATCCATCCATACATACATCTATCCATCCAGCCATCCATCCATCCAGCCATCCAGCCATCCATCCATCCATCCATTCATCCATACATACATACATCTATCCATCCATCCATACATACATCCATCCTTCCATCCATCCATCCATCCATCCATCCTTCCATCCATACATACATACATCCATCCATCCATCCTTCCATCCATCCATACATACATACATACATCCATACATACATACATACATACATCCATACATACATACATCCTTCCACCCATCCATCCATCCATACATCCATCCATCCATCCTTCCATACATCCATCCATACATACATACATACATACATACATACATCCATCCATCCATCCATCCATCCATACATACATACATACATCCATCCATCCATCCTTTTCTGGCCGGTAAACAGAGAGCTTTGCCTTACAGCTCAGCTCCCTCTTCACCACAACGGACCGGTACAGCGTCCACAATACTGCAGACGCTGCACCAATCGATCTGTCAACCTCACGCTCCATTCTTCCCTCACTCTTGAGCAAAACCCCGACTCCTCCACTGGAGGCAGAACCTCACCTGGACCTGATTAGAGCAATCCACTTGTTTTGATAAATAAAAAAACTGTTTTTAATAAAGTGTTCATTAGGAACTGCCATTAGCCCCTCCCCCTGGCTCCACCGTTGTGCCTGGTAATAGATAGAAGTGCTCCCTCCTCTCACCGGGGTCCGTCACTTTGCACAGCGTCAGACGAGCAAAGAACAACTTTATTCTTCTCCACAGAGTAACTCCTACCCGCTTGAACATCTTGCACCAAAAACATTAAGGTTTACTGACATCAAAACACTCCTCAAACTACAAACGTTCTCTATTATAAAAGGTGGTTGATACGTGTTCCTTTACAACTTTGGTTTAAAGTTTAAACTCTGATTAGAGGCAAGCGCTCACAGATTTCAGCTTTTCTCTGAAGCACATCTTTCTCCTCCTGGATCCAAACATCTAGTGTAAAGTTTGTTTAGCATCAGTTTAGGTCCGCTCCTTTAGAGCTGGGGTGGAACTGACCGCTGGAGAAAGCACAGCAGAATGATTTAGGACCCTCTCCCTGTGCGGCTGCAGTGTTCGTGTGACGGCCTGGCTGTGCAGACTCCAACTGTTTAATTTTGTACGTGCTCGGGAACATCTCCAGAGAAGTCCTGCAGACCTTTCTGAGCAGCCAGAAATAGGCCGGAGTGCGAGGTGCAACGAGAAGCGGCTGCAGTGCTGCAGCTGTCCACGAGGCTTTGTTAGAACCGTTTCAATTAAAACGCACCGCGTCCACATTCAAGGATCGCTGCTAACGCACATCCAGGTCCCCAGACAAACAAAAGCAGAGCAAAATAGTTTGTTACATTAATGTAAAAGTCTCTACGCAAGTTCCTGATTGTTTTTAGTTTTTTATCTCATCACAGGTGAAGACACGAGCAAACACGACAGGTTTTAATTGTCCAAGTTCAAGAAAACAGCTGGACAGCTGTTACCTTTCAAACTAAATGTATTTACATGCAGAGAACTATCAATGGAATTATGGCAGATGTTTGTTCAAACCTGAAAGGTTTGTAAAATGTGCATGAAATGAGTGTGCTTGAATCAAGCTGGGCCCAAAGGTAAATCAGTTGTAGGTTAAATTCCCACGGTTTCAATAAAATCCATCCATCCATGAATGACGGGGCTCCAGTGGTTTATGTAATATTTTATTAACATAATTTGTAAAAGAACACACAAACAGGCAAAAAACATTTCCCCTTTTCATCTCCGGCAGTAATGAAGTGAACCCAGAGCAGAGATCTGAAACAGAATTTCAGCTCTGACGTTTCTGGTGGCGCCTTCACAACTTGACTCTCATTTTGTTCATCTCTTTGACTTTGGTCCTATTGCTGTTTAAAAAATGAGGAAAGTCAAATTTTAACACAACTTTCTTTCTGTCATTAACTTTTCTTTCAGAACTCTATCCGACACAATCTGTCCCTCCATAGTCGCTTTGTCAAAGTCCAAAATGAAGGAACTGGGAAAAGCTCCTGGTGGATGGTGAACCCAGACGGAGGTAAAGGCGGCAAAGCTCCCCGCAGACGAGCCGTTTCTATGGACAACAGTAAGTACATCAAGGGAGCCCGAGGACGGGCCACCAAGAAGAAAGCTGCCTCCCTACAGGCAGCACAAGACGGTAGCTCTGAGAGCACCTCAAGTCTGTCCAAGTGGACAGGAAGTCCCACGTCCCGCAGCAGCGACGAGCTGGACGCCTGGACAGATTTCCGCTCCCGAACCAATTCCAACGCCAGCACACTCAGTGGTCGTCTGTCTCCAATTCTGGCCAACCTGGAGCTGGACGAGGTGCCTGATGATGACTCCCCCCTTTCCCCCATGCTGTACTCTAGCCCCAGCAGCATGTCCCCATCCACAGGACCAACAGGACTCTCCGACCTGGCAGGGACTATGAACCTCAACGACGGCCTGTCGGACAACCTGATGGATGACCTTTTAGACAATATCAGCCTGACGGCATCTCAGCAGCCTCCCCCTGGAGAGGAAGACACTGGAGCCAACGGTCAGGGGGCCTCTGTGTTTACCTTCGGCTGCTCAGGCACTGGTCTGGGTAGTCCCTCTGGAAGCTATGGGACAAATCCTTTGTTCAGTCCTTCTTCTATTACAAGTCTGCGCCAGTCTCCCATGCAGACCATCCAGGAGAACAAGCAGACCACATTCACAAGCATCTCACACTTCAGTGACCACCAGACCCTGCAAGATCTGCTAAGCCTGGACTCCCACAGTCCCAACAATGTCATGCTCACTCAGTCTGACCCTCTGATGTCACAGGCCAGCAACGCCATCGCCCTGCAGAACTCTCGTCGAAACACAACGGTGCTCCGCAAGGACCACATCCTGCTGAGTCCCAGCAGTTCAGACCTGGGACAAAGTTCTTCAGTGCCTGGTTGGCAAGCTGGCTTGTCAACCGCTAAGAACAACACAAGCCACTCCGGTGCCAAGCAGCCACATCTCAAGTCTCCCAGCAAGATCTCCTCTATGCAGCTGAGCTCTGGTTTGTCAAGCCAGGACCGCTTTTCTGCTGATCTGGACCTCGATGTGTTCAACGGCAGTCTGGAGTGTGACATGGACTGTATGATCCGTAACGAGCTGATGGACGCAGACTGCCTGGACCTGAGCTTTGATACCCGCCACACCTCGGCTCAGAACAGGAATTCAGGAAGTTTCTCCAGCTCAAAACGGACATCCCCTCAGACCCCTGAGAGCTGGGTGCCAAGCTGAGGCGCAGCGCCAGTGAAAGAGGAGCGTGTACACGTGTACACTGAAGATCAGTCCTGTTGTGCATCTACAGGGAAAAATGTATTTATGTCAAATTTTCAGTAGCAAAAGATAATACAGCCTGGTATGTACCGGGTACATAACTGATGATATGTAACTATGTACATACCAAGTATGGAAGTTAAATGTGCACGTGGTATGTAGTTAGATGTTCACCATGTACAGAAGTAGGCACTCGCCATGTATGTCCAGGTACGTAACGAGGCACACATTGGGTACATAGAAGTACATTCACCAGGTACATAGCTAGGCCCCCAGTGGGTACAAAGTTAGGCAGTTACCATGTGTGTACCTAGTTATGTAACCAGGTATTCACCAGCACTTGCCTGTACAGAACTAGATGCTCACTGGGTACCTACCTAGCTACTAACCTAGTACGCAGCCAGTCGGTATGTGTCGGGCTGTATTATGAATTGCTACCAAATTTTCTTCCATTATTTAATTGTGAAACATTCAGTGCTGTATTTTAGGTGTCTGAGACACTCGGAAGAGACAAACTGCTCCTTTGGGACGTTGAGGTGAACAGTACTGACTCGAAAGAAACTAAGGGAAAGCATCAACTCTTTTTATTCTCAGGGAATTGCTCGTATCACAGAGTGATAAATGAAACTGAAGATGAAATATGCTTTCCACCTGCATTCTCCTCTTTCACTCCCTTTCATACGTAGACCAACTTTTTTTTTGTTGCCAAACCAGCTGTCAGCCTGTTGTTGGCTGATGGCGTGTTTACAGAGAAGAAGCTTCAGAGAATGTTCCGACGTTCCATTCCAGTGGAGGAAACTTGAAAATCTTTGTTTCTCAGCTTTCTGTGAGGGAATTCGCCTACATGGACTAAGAGGTTTCCAACATTTGCCCGTTGATGCGCAGAGTCCCACTAAATATCTGTCGTAGAGCTCAACATGTTACCAAGACGTGAACTGATCTGCATCGTGTGGTTTTTGTACATTTTTTAAACAAATCTGTGATTTTAGTGACATTACTGTGAATTCTGTTCCTCCTGAAGAGGTGCGTTACTGATATGTTTCGACTGCAGATCACCGTACTCGATCCTCACCCCTTCGGGATTCCCGCACTATTTAAGACACGATTTAGCTCCACTTCCATTAACAAACACTTAGGACCGTTCGGATTAAGACGACCACTCTCTGAGACTTGAGGACACTCGGTTCCAGCACGTTGGTGTTTTATCTGCAGGAGCTTTTGGTGCTATTAATAAGAAGAGGGCAGGGAGTGGCTGCTGATGGAGTAGCAGCCGTAGAGCTGCTCCTTTATCAGCGCTACAGCAGGTGCTCGGAAGAAGTGGTTTCAGCGCCGAGAGACGAGGGGGGAGGTGAGATATTGAAAAATTCATTTTGCCAATAAAAAAAAAGAACCACAGTATTTTAAATATTGCCAAATTACTTCTGCATTCACATACAGTACGTTGATATACAAGAAAATACAGTAGTCCGTAGAAGTATATTTAAAAAAGAATAACTATCTGCACAGTTTTGTAGGAGCAGCAGGATAAAAAAACAATTAGGTTTACTTTCTTTTAATCACTGGAAGCAAATCTTTTACTGGACTGAACCAGTTAAAAATACTCTCACTTTGTTTCTGTTGATCCTTGAAGACAAAAATTAATTTCTACAACCCTTCACATTTAAAGTTTGTGGCCAGGTCATAAAGCTCAATCCAAACGGCCTTCGATATAAGAAAAATAGGCACGGATGAACTTGCTGGTACGTTTCTACGATAATTAACTGGCGTGAGCAAAAACGGCTCCTGGTTCGACTCGTCAGTCCCAGAATTTTAGTGAATTTCTGTCGAGCTTTTTATGGTTTTTCACAAGCGGAGCCTTCAGAATTCAAAATGGGTTGAATGGTTGGGTCACAAAATGGTGTTCCTTGACCTTGGGAGTTCAGTTTCAATGGTTTTGTTTGATCTTTCTCTACCGTCCCCATTATCTAATCCACCAGGGGCTGCATTTCCCTTTGCGTCCATGACTTGGGAGGTTGGCTACAGTCCAATGAACCTCCTTATACTATTTAAATTATCTAATTAAATGTAATGGTATTGGCAGCTGTGGTCAGAGAAACATGAGGCTTCTTGATATGACCTTTATGTTGAACATGGAGATCTACGATCTTCCTCGGACGGGTCTGCCGGCACACAATAATCGTACCAACATTATTGTTCCCTTTAAATGGCCGACGAAAAGCTTGAAGGCACCTGTGATATTAACTGGTGTCAAAGCATGACTACAATGCAAAGATTAAAAAGTACCAACAAGTTTGTCTGCGCCCGTACATTCTGTAGGATCGTGCTTCCAAATAAAATCTGGTACTTCTCACTTATTTTCCTGCACTACTTTTAATTTTCACTGCCAGAAGACACGCTTTAGTTGTTCCTTCTGCCCTTACAAAACAAAGGGGAGGGAGAAAAGATGGCTCCTATTTGCCACCGTCCGTTGTATTCCCATTTTAATTTTTTGAGAGGATGCATGTAAATAAAGGTCAAGAACTACTGAAACGTGGAGTTGTAGATGTTCTTTCTTTTTGTTGTAAAGGCTGAGCTGCAGTCTTGACTCTGCAGGGTGCTGTTTGCAGGTGAATTATGATTGGACGAGCACTTAATGAGCTCCCAGCCAATCGCACGCTGTATCCAGGACGAACGGACCTGCTCGGACTGAGTGAGGCGTTTGACTGCAGAGATGCTGAGGGAGGAGGCTGGAACTGAGGTCACGTTTTTACAAATTATCTTACAAATTAAAAGCACCCACCGCCTTTCATTCATGCCACAATATAAGACCATGATCATACGAGGAAAATTATGGAGCCAGTAGCCAAACCCTAAAAGTGGCAATATGTGTGATGTATTTCAATACTGTGAGAGTTCACACTCAGAGTTTGTGTCGTGAACACCTCTCGTCCAGATCACATCAACTTTTGGGTCCAAATCAGAAAATTGGGCGATAGCTGATTTTGAGTTTGCATACGTTAATCTGCTGGACAGTTATTGTAAATGGGATTGTCTCCAAAGGTTTATCAGATGTAGACGTACATCCAACAACTGCTTTTGGACACCTTCATTAAAATCTGTCCAGCGGTTCATGAGATATTTTGCTAACAGACAAAACAAGGTTAAGTTGAACAATTGTAGCCAAAGTTTTAGGGATAGACTGAGTGCAATGAGTATCTTTTGGTAAGTGTTGTGGATTACTGTCACCTACAACCGCAGCAAGTGTTAGTGCAACATCTGTCAAATGTAATTAAAGCCGTTTTGGGTTTTCTAGTCTTAGTTGACTGCAGTGGCCATCTTGAATTGTGTTGAGTCTAAAGTTAATCAGATGTTGAGTGACGAGGTCAGGGCTCAACTAAACAGCTCGGGGGCCGGACTCTGTAAATAAACCAAAGTTTACAATGATCTCCATCCATCCATCCATTTTCTTTACCCGTTTATTCCATTTTGGGTC